TCACAAAAAAAAAACAATTCTGCTCTCATTCATATCACTAATGATCAACAACAACATATTGAATATTTATAATGATGATGATGATGATGGTAAAATAGAATATCGATCACATTTCGACAAATAATAATAAGTTTTTTTTCGTTCATACTTTGTTTGCGTCTCTATATCATCATCATCATTATTGTTGTTGATATTACAGAATTCACCGGTGATTTCTTTTCCATATTTGTTCATACAATACAATTCAAATATCCAAGTGTGTGTGTGTGTGTATTCCATAATGACCAATTGGCCAAAAAAAAAGACAGCGTGTGCAAAGAAGAAGAATGAAAACAAAAATAAAACCAAACGAAAGAAAATAAAAATCAAATAATAATCAATCACCAACAGAATCGTTTTTTGTTCCTAAATAATGACTGGTGCTAAATGAGAAACAAAAATAAATAAATCAAAGTTTGGTTTAGTTTCGAAAACGAACAAAAAAAACTGAAACTGATTGAAGAATAAAACATGAATGGAAAAAAAAGAGTCACCAACACAATAATTGTTTTGTGTCATATATCGGGCAAAGTTTTAGTTTTTAGTTTTTTTTCTCAATGAATGATTATCATTCATACGAATTTTCCCAAAACCAAAATATTATTGTGTGTTAAACATAGGTTTTTTTTCGAGAAAAATTCAATTTAATTGACTGTAACCAATTGTTACAAACAAGATGATCATGATGATCATCGATGATTATTATTACAACACAACATTTACAAAATGTTATTAATTACAAGTTGTTTTCGGTATTTTTTTAGGTTCTCTCTTATTTTCGAAAACACATACAATTTTTCATTTTAAACGAACATTCTTTTTTTGAAAGTCTCTGGAGAACTTTCATTCACACGATATTTTATTATGGATCATATGGATTTGTCATCATGATCATCAAACAAAATCATCATCAATATGATTTTGATTCTGTCCACAGGTCGTTTCAAACAAAACAAAATGATATATACACTTGTGTATTATTCCATTGAGTATTATATTGTGTATCGATTCATGATTTTTGAAAAAAATGAACAACAACCAGCACCATTTTCTCACGTCAATTATGAACATTTAGTTCGTCATCTAAAAGAATAATCGACCGATTGACATGGTTTTTTCAGCAAAAAATTGTCATTCTGATTACGAAAACAATCATTCTTTAATGTAACATATTTGTAGTTAGTTCTATTCATTGAATTCTTTGACTTATTTTTTCATTATTGAGCTGATTTTTTCTCATATTCTCGTACAAACAAACAAAGATTTAATTTTCTTTTTGTTGTTGAAATTAATTTAATGAAATTTTGACGGAACCAAAAAATAACGATATTGTTTTTTATTCATTATCATCATCATTAGGTAAAAGCATTGATTCATCAAGCATTTCAAAATTGTACGTTTGTATTTAAAAAAATTTAACGAAAATGAAAAACAATTTTCTCTTTTTTTTACCATTATTTGTCACGAATGTTACTATAGTAGTCAAATAATGACATTATTTTTAATGATAATTTTCGTTACCACGAACGTTGATCATATAATGACTATCTGACAAAACAAATGAAATTTGTTCAACGAAAAAAAAAATTGTTTAATTATCATCGACAATAACAAATAAACAATAATGGATGATGACAACAACACAATGGCTATTTAAAATAATCATTTTGATATTTGATCGATATTTTTTTTCGGTAACAACAAAAAATAACGTCTTTTAATAGATGTCCTTTCGGTAGAAATGGCAATCATATTTTTATTTAATAAATGCTATCCTGATAAATATCTTTTAGGTCAACTGCTACCAAGAAAAAATAGATTTATCGATTCTTCAATATAGATAATAATGTAGAAAAAAATTTTAATTGATTGATTAGAATCAACCAATCAAAATTTTTCCAATCAAATGATTGAATCATAATGAAAAAAAAATTCTCTTAAAATGGCCATAATGATTTATTTTTCATAGGTTAAAAATAAAGAATTGATAGGTTAATAAAATAAAAAACAATCTTTGTATATTAATATTTATTCTTAACACAGAGATTTTTCCCCTTAACAATAATCATTCACATTTTTTTCCATTAATAAAATGAACTCAAATTGATCCTATCAATGTTTATTTCAATTTAATATTATAAATTGATTGTATACCGGTCACCAATTAATAGATAAACATAGCTAAAACAACAAAATAGATCAATTTGATTGATTCAAATCAATCACCGAAAGAAATTTCAAGATTCAAATCAATCAACACATTACTTTTATTATTTTCAAATGATATGAATCAAATAATCTAAATCCAGCTCTCGTAGGTTTTTATCCTAAAATTACCAACACAGTGTGTTTACCTATTTTTCTGTCATTGAAGAATAATAAAAAACACTATGCACAAACATATTATATTGACTCTGTTATGTGATTAATACTTGAGCTTCTGTTGTTTGTTATCCGTCAACGAGATTCGTGGAATTGTTTTTTCTTTTCAGCCTTATTTTTCGCCATTGTTATTGAGTTATTGTGGAAAAGTAAATAAGACATACAAATGAATAAATAGATATTTATTTATAAACCTTTGCCAACAATTGATAAGCTGTTTGTTGCAATTTTCATTTTATTGAACAAAGAATAAATGAAATGACGTTGTTAAGATAAGAAACATGATATAAAAGATGAAATGATAGCAATAAGTTAAAATCTACAGTAGAATAGAGATCAAATAATAAGATGAAATGATGGGGACCACTTGCCGTGTATATATGTGTTTGTTTATATTGATTATCATAGCCAATCATATTGTTGTTAGTTAGTGGACAATGTCCACCAATGGACGCCATATGTGTTTTTTTTTTGGTAAGTGTTATTGTTTGCTATAAGCAATCACATTTTTTTTTTGTTTAATAATTAATCATACTATCGAAGACAAAAATAAAACCCGGGAAACCTGACAATAATAATAATTATAAAAACAAAAAAAACGACTACGATGACAATAATAATAACCACAATATCGATAATCATCCTCATTAAAATGATTGGTAGAAACTAATGAATACGATCCTGTTGATGATGATTCTATTCGTTATCTTTTCATCATCATCATTTGCAATAAAATGAAATTGAAAATGACAACGAGAAAATGAATGATTTAGACAATTGAAATTGATATAATGTAGCTGATCATGATGATGATGATCTATTGATTCAATATTGGACAGTTGTAATTGACGAATAAATCAATAATAATAATAATAATAATAATGATGATTAGTAAATGATATATGGAATTTATTTATCATTTGTAGCAAATAATATGTAAATAAGAAAAATTTTCATTCATTTATGATGATGATGATGGATTGCATGACCACCACTATCTTCTTTATTATTTCAAGCATATTGAATATTTCTTGTCATTTCAATTGAATGGCTAGCTCAATCTTTATTTTTAATGCTGAAATTTTTTTTGTCTATATATAAATTTTAATGTACAAAAAAAAAGAATGAAACTTCTTCCTTATTACATACTTGTCATCAATATTTAATAAACATTGGATTAATCGACAGTCAATAATGAATGACAAACGATGTCAGGTAAAAAAAATTTTATATTTTACATTAATTGAACTAATTAATCGGCCTAACTTAATATTACTTTTTTAAAGCTCTCTTAAAACACAAAACATTTAACTCATCTATCTTATTCATTAGCCATCATCATTATCTTCATGATGGATAATGAAGATTTTCCGGAATTGAATTTTGTTTTATTATTCATCATTAAAATATTAACAACAATTTGGCTCTATACTATTCATGAACGCGCATAATCAGTTTGGTACAATGTTATTTCTAGATGAAAAAAATTGATTTTACTATCCAATGCATTCTAAGGTCAGTTTAAATATACAAATGTAGTGAATTTTTTTTCTCATTTATGATGTTCATTATTATTATAATGACAATTGATAATAGTTGATGTTAGGACAAATAACTAAATGAACAATTCAAAAGTATTATCATTTCATTTTATAACACATAATAAATAAATAGAAATAAAAATTGAACAAGAATAAGATGAAAAATGACAACAACAACCACAATAGATAGATAGCATCTGCATCATCATCATTATTTTTTTATTTTCAGTAATAATATATCAATATCAATTGAGTTAATGAATGAATGAACGAATTGATTGGATTGTATAGAGAAAAAGAGAGATTGAAGAGATAGAAAGAGAAAAGTTAACAACAACAACAAAAAACGAATGCTGCATACAAAAATATATAATGTATGTAGAAGAGAATGTGAAAAAAAAAATAGGATCCACCTTTTTATAACACAATCAATGATACTTAATTGGGCGGTCCATTTTCTGAAAATAAAAATCCTCATATATAACATGAGCGGTGTGTACATTTGTATATGTTGTAGTGGTCGGTTCCTAAAGATTGAATTGGATAGGCGGTTTGAATAGATATGAATTACAATTTGATTGTAATTCAGATTGGTTTACGTGTGCGTGTGTATGTGTGTGTTGTACCTCCTTTGATTGTGCATTTTTTATTTTATTTATTAAAAGATTTTTGTTTTTATTTCCACACACATTCAATATTTGTTGTTCATATCATCAAAGTGATTGTGTGTGTATGTTTGTATTTATATCCCGAATAAACACATTTGAAATTTTCAATATTTTTTTTGGAATAAAAAAAAATATAAAAAGAAGTTGAAAATTTGTTTTCTATTATCATTTATTCATTTTGATTTTGTTTTCATCTTTCATCACTTTGATCATCATCATTCTTGAATTGAATAATTCTTTTCCACTTTTTTTTTAAAATAAAAGTGTTCTGTATTTATGACAATCATCATCATCATCATAATTATTATCATCAAGTGCTTAATTAAATTTTACATTGACTTTCAAAATAATATCCTGATTGCATTCATCATCACAACATAGTAATTATCATCATAAATATTCATCATAATTATTATCATCATCATCATTAATAGTCTTTAAATGTGGCCGGTTAGCTATTAAATGATGCAATTAAGTGGACAAACGTTGATAGCTGCAAATCTAGCAGAACCAGTGTTTTTCAAAAATGAACTAAATTTTAACACTAGGTCCAATTATCATAATCTTTTGGAATTTTCTCATAATAATAATAATCATCATCATCATCATAATCAAAGTAGTATTAACAATCATAATCTAATTACAAATAAAGATTTCATTCAATTTCAACTGAATTCGCAACAAATTATGAGTCAGAATAAAAGCTTAACAGCTACCTCACCGATGACAATGGTTCATAATAGTTTGCTCAATTCGTCGGCCGATCAAGCCGAAACAACAATGTCAAATAAAGTGGGAAAATATGTACGAGAAATCAGTTCATCACCATTGTCGGTCAGTGCCGAATCAAATCATTCAACATCGCCGATCTCCTCTCCTTTTAATGGAAAATCAATTGATAGTGATGATGATGAACGAATCTCTGTTTCATCACCACCGGTTAAATCTCATCAAGTATCATCGATCTCGAATTATTCGATGCCAAATCAATTGGCCAAATTATATGGCTATTCATTGGGACAAGGTCTTCCGAATCAATTCTCATTTTCGTTTGGATTTCCATTTCCTTATGGTCAACAATATGATCTTAGTTTGGCAAACAATTTAGCCAATCAACAATGTTCTCAGAATAATAATACACTTCCTAAACAAACAAAACCATCGACTAATTTTTCCGTTGCCTCACTATTAGCTGGCAGTGGTGATAATATCAATAATGAAGATAATAAACATTCTGAAGATTCTAACAAGGTAATCAACATGAGTCGTAATAGCTCATATTCTGAAGGTGAAGATGATGATGATATTGATGAAGAAATGGTCGAAGATTCAGCTGTCAAATTATCATCAAATAAAATGAATAAAGATGATGACGATGATGACGATGATGAAGCTGTTGATATGAGCAATAGAAATCCTGAACGAAAAATCTCGGTTACACGTCTAAGTTCAAGTCTTTCACCATCACATCAATTATCACCACCAAATAGCCGCAGTAATAGTCCATTTTCATCGGAATTCAATAAATCTCCCGATAGTCAACAACCATCAAAGAATTTAACACAACATCAAATGAATGTTGATTCAATGTCGGCTGCATTACAACTTCAATTGGCTGCAGCAGCAGCGGCTAGACATCGATTCTCAGTTGATGGTATTATGTTGAACAACAGTCAGGCACAAGGTTCACATCCTATGTTTCCTTCGCATGGTCAAACCCATTCATTGATGTCAGGCGGACCATTGCATCATCAAGCATTAACAAGTGGTGGACATCCACCAACATGGCTTCCACATCCAGCTGGATCACATGGTCTTGGTGGTCTTTCTGGTGCACATCCATTGAATCCATTTCATCATTGGCTTGCTCAGACATCTGGCCCATTATCACCATCACATAGTAAGTTTTTCTAAAATAAAGTCATTAAATATTTTTTTCTTTTTGTTTATTTAAAATCATAAAGAACAAATAAGCAAACATATATAATACAATGCAAAACCTGAAATATTAATAATAATAATTATAATAATGATTGGACAAATTAATAATTATGGTCGAAAATGAAAAAGAAATTTATTCATTTTGCATACACTCACGCATTTTAGCAATTAACAATAGAATAGAATACTGCATGAATTCAAAAGAATCATCAAAATATTAATGGCCCATTTGGTCGTTATGTTTATATCATTATTTGATTATGAATAAATAATGTGTTTGTGTGGTTTTCACTATAGACCAGGAGAAAAAGATTTGTTTCCTAGTATTTCAAATGGACACACACACACACATACACATAAAAATCATTAGTTTGTTAATCTAGTTATAATATAATGTTGTTGTTGTTGTTGATGATGATGATAAAAATGGTCATCGGTCATCATTTAGTATGAGATTTCTATGTTATTTCAAGTGGAATCAAGTTTATGTATGTAGTGAACAAGTTATATAATGGCTTAACCTGGCAAGCAACATTCCATTAAATTATAACAAGCTTAAATGATAGATTCATATGCTTATGATGGTTATTGATTACTTTTAACATCTAAGTTGTTGTTTTCCTTGTCAATATTTTACATGTACATTTGGGTGGCAGAAATCATCATTGAACAGATAAATTGACTGTCTGATAGTTGTTCTATGTCTGTATATACTTGAATTTCATCAATAGGATGATCTATAGTCGATGAAAATCCGTTGATAATTTGTTTGCCAAAGGCTTGCTGAAAAAATAGCCAATTAGTAGATTTCAGCGAATTTAAAAATAAAAAAATAACTTGAACAATTTATTATTGGACATTTTTTCAAATATAAAATTTGTCCAAATAAATTTTGATGTTATGCTATATGAATTGCTAAATAAAATATACAGACAAATTGAATGACATAGTAGACAGTAATAAAATGACCATATCGGTCTCTAAGGACACAAAACAAATTTATTTTCTTTCTTATTGCTAAGCTTATTTCAATCAATTTTATAAACAAAATTAAATATCTGTTCACAGGTTATAGCTTAAAAGATTGGTCAACATGAATTCCATTGACAAATATAGCTTTCATATATTTCCTTTCGAAAGTCTTAGACAATCAATTAACAATTAGCTATTTTACAAATCTTTTTTTATGCAATATATTGGCAAACAAACAAAACACTAAACAAAAACAACCACACATTCAACAAATGAATATAATCCACAAAAAAGTCAATGATCAAAATATTGTATGGAAACAGACAAAATTTTTTAATGCATGATTGCTTGGATTATCTATCACTATGCACAAATTCATTGGTCTAATGAATTTTAGCACTAATGAAAATATGTCTTAGTCATTAACTTTTTAATACCAATGATGATTATGATGGTGTAAATAATGTTTTCAATTAATTTTTTTCCATAGAACCTGGTGAACCACCAAGAATACCAGTAAAATGTGCATTGAGAAAACATAAAAGCAATAGAAAACCACGCACACCGTTTACAACACAACAATTATTGGCATTAGAGCGAAAATTTCGGAACAAACAATATCTTTCAATTGCTGAGCGTGCTGAATTTTCCAATAGTCTTAATCTGACTGAAACACAAGTGAAAATCTGGTTTCAAAATCGTCGAGCAAAAGAAAAGGTTAGTATTACTAAATTGTGAACAAAACAATAATGGATTTGCATTTGCATTTTCCAATCATAATGCTATAATTGAAATTTTAATTTTCATTTTGATGTTTTATTCAATTTTTGAGCAGAGATTGAAAGAAGCTGAAATCGAAAAACTTCGTTTATCAACGCGACCATTTCCGGGACCATTTGGGCCCTTTCCAGGTATTCCAAGCGGACATCCATTTGTAAGCTTTAATGGCAATATTGCAGCTGCAGCCGCAGCCGCTGCTGCTGCAATGGCAGGCAGTAATCATACACAGACCAATGGTGGCAATAAAAATTGTCAATTACCTCCATCATCATCATCATCATCGACTACAAATACGAATACTACTTCCGAAACAGGAGCCAATTCAATATTTGCAACATTTCATAATTTAAATTCTTATGGTCAGCCATCACCATCAATAACATCATCATCATCATCATCATTAACCACGGCAACAACAGCAAATAGTCATTCAGAAACATTATCGACAACAATTACACCTTCCAATGCATTATCATCATCATCATCATCAACAAAAACGGTGACAACAACATCAACAACTAATGCATTATTATTGGAACAATCTTCATCATGTGAACCATCATCATCATCATTATCAACCATACATCGAAATCCTACAACAAAATCATCATCAAAATCTGTACAAAAATAAATATTCATTAAGAAAAAAAAATACAGATGAAAATATCAAAGTGAATTTCATATTTCATTCAAGATTCTTTCATTATTATTATTATTATTATTATCATTATCATTGATTTCGATCGATGATGATATGCTGTGAATTTTTTCCCCTTCTAGATACTTTCTAGAGTTTGTGTGAGTGTGTGTATGAAAAAAAATGTGTATTTGTAAATGATTACATATCATTATTATTTAAAATATCCATACACATGCCACACACACAAAACACATACACAAATTATTATGATCTGGGTTTGAATACGCACATTCCACACACAAACATTAAAATAAAATAGCATCAGCGAGTGACTATAGTTATTATTCTTATTATTATTATTACTGAAATCCAAAAATCAATGATCGATGATAATGATTGTCATCATTCAATGATAGATCATTGGCTTTTTTATTATAATCATTATTATTATATTCTTATTATTTGTATATTTGTTCATCATTCTTTATCTTTATCGTATACACTTGAAATAAGTTATATATAAAAAAACTTGTATTATTCTATTTAATGAACAAAAAAAAAATTCTACTTATTAACAATTATGATGATTGAATAATATCAATGTTTATTTCTTTTTCTTTTTTTTGGTCATTTTTTTCTGGATTTATTCAATTTATAAATTCAAATTTTTTCCGATTAATCATTAAGACGATGTGATCAAGCAAATGATCATTTTAACGGGGAAAAAAATAAGTAGGAAAAATGAAATAAAATTGAAAAAATAAATAATAATAATAAAATTGTTGATAGAAATTCCGGTTGAATTCGTTTCGCTATCATAATGAATGTTTCATTATCACGAATAATGATGATGAAATGAATTTTTTTTCATACTCCTCAAGTATTTTGACGTGATTTTGCCATAAAGAAAGTCGTGTGTGTATGAGTAAATCTCAACGGGGAGAAGAGCAAAGCAAAAAAAAGAAATAAAGAAATGAGACAGAAAAAGGTGGCAATTTCCGACTGATTTTTTTTTCTCTTTTCATTGTTCGATTCGTTGATGTTAGCTTTATGGCCATTGACACGATGACATTGACAATGATGATGATGATGATGATCGGATATATGATTTGATTGAATGAATGAATGAATAAAAAAAAATCATTCGAATATTCATTTTACTACATATGAATATCATCATCATCATCAATATGGATATCGGAATCAAACCATATAATAGTAATATAAAATCAATTGAATGGACATTGTCAGCATCAGGTTAGTCACATGCCGCTTTTTTTCGGGTATAATCATTTAAATATTTCATTTTTTTTCTTCTTTATTATAATAACAATTATGACAATGATAATACAATGCGATACGGATATTGGTATTTGTATTCGCGTGCCATTGAAATCCGTCAATATTCAATCGAAAAATGATGATGATGATGATGGTGCAAAAATATTTTTCATTTAAATTCATTTTTCGTTTTTTTATTATTATTTGGAAATAATCAATTTATGAATCATTCGAAATAAATATTCGACATTTTTTTTCAATCATTCAATCTAATTAAAAGATAGAAATTATTTATTTTTTTCATTTTAATATATTTCAATTTTTATTGAATAAACAACATATTGTATAGTGGAAAAAATATATAATGAATTAGAAAAAATTAATTGAAATAATTATAAACAAAATCGAATGCTCTGATATGTGTATGTGTGTGTTTGTATATACGTTTTCCATGGAAAAAAATTATAATCAACTTATTCAATCTTTTCATTATTATTATCATTATTATCATTATTACTAATGAACAGACAATTAGGAGAATTAGAAACAACGAATAATTGATTAATTCATTAACGTTTTTCTTTCCTATACTCGATTGCTTCATATCTCTCTGCACTTATTTCTTACACAATGATGATGATGATGAAGCTAAATGATGTGTAGCTTTTTTTTCTTCTTTTAGCCAAAATATTAGACCGATAATGTATGCCATGTGCACACACATACACATAATGAATCTTTTAATGTTTGTTGTGAGAATGGTAATCATAAATCATTGCTCATTACCCTGACACCGTCGCCACCGACAACGAACAAAGATGCGGCAATTCATTTCTTTTACTAAAATAATAATGATGATGATGATGACGATGCACGTTTTTTGTCAATTCAAGAATATTGTAAGTATAAAAAAAAGAAGTTTTTTATGAAAAAATTCGAATGGAAAAAAACTCAACTTTTCGATAATCGTGTATATGTCATTTCGTTGTAGTTCTTCGCTGTTAAGAATCAAATTCATTTATATCAGTAGTTTGAATAAAGGCACTAGTTATTTAATGATGAAATAAAAAAAGAGGATGAGGAAAAATTCTTATCTTTGCAATTAATTAATTAGCTAATTAATTATAAACTAAACAAGCGATGACAAGGTGTGGCTATGGAAAAGATGATAAAAACAGAACAGTAGAAAATACAAGTTTATGTAAAGAAAAAAATTTTTATAAAGAGAAAAAAAACGAAATAAATAAATCGCACTTTCATGGTTCTAACATATTTAAAAATAAAGGTGTTTGATCTTCAAGAATTTATTTGATCAAAATCAATGGAATTGGATTGGAATAATGAGAAAATGAATTCATTCATTCAATGAAATGAGTGGAAAAAAAAATCTTCATCACCAACATTAAAATACTCGTTGAAGAGTCGTGATTATGAGGTGTTGTTGAGACTATCATCATCGATTCAAAGAATGAAAATGTTTGATTGTAATGATGAGCGTGTCGTGACTTTATTAAATAATGAACAAGCCACAGGCCGGCAAAAAAAACAATTCGGGAATATAGAGAAAAAAGATTCGCGCACCAACATACACACGATAAAGATGGACATCATTTTCAAATTACACATTTAAATTATTTAATTGTTTTCAAGCTGATCTAGAGAATTCATGATGAATGGCTGAAATAAATTGAATGAATGAATGAATAAATGTATAAAAAAATAGAACCTCGATTCGTTATTCTTTTTTTTTCAATTATCATTATTTCGTTATTTGGGGATAATTGAATTTTTTTTTGTTTTCGTTCATGACACAATCATCATCCAAAAATGACCGATATCAAGAGGCCATAATATCCTTCATCTAATCAAGAAAAAAAATCACACTACAAAAAAATGTGTGGCTAAAAACGAAAAAATTCCATCAAAAATGAATTGTCCATAAATTAGTTAATTAATTGCTTGTGATGACATGCCATGCCACATATCCTATCATTACGATATGAGAATGATGATGATGCTACAAACTACTAAGGCATTTAGTTGATAATATACAAAAATTATCAATTTTTAGATGAACTGCCATAAGATTAGTTAAAAAGATAATGTATTTTTTATCGCTACATTCTTTACCAACAGCAGTAAAAAAAAAGAAGGGAAAAATGTTAGCAAAAGCTAATTAGACCGAAAATGAGCTGCAAATATAATATTCAATTAACAGGTTCTCATTCATTAGACATCATTATAATCATCAGTAATATATACAGAAATGATATGCATAGCATCAATGGTGGCCCTGGCCACGATCTAGATCGTGAGATATAGATCCTATCATACTTATTTGATGGTGGTGGTTATATATGATGAAGGCAATAAATGTGGTTACATCGAATAGAATAAAATTGTAAGTTTGTATGAAAATAGATGAATGTATTTATTCGAATGATCAAACACATACACATGCATTTTTTTCTATTATTGATTTTCGCTTCCATTCGGTTAATTAACAGAAAAAAGAAAAAGATTTCTTTCTATTTTGCTTTCATTAGATAGCACAGTGGTAAGCATCGTGGTCATTATCATTATCATTACTGGGCTTTATGGAATTGTGAACTAAACACAATATAATATCATTTCATTGAATTATCATCACGAGATTGACCATTAATTTTATTTTTTCCCCTAATACATATTAAATCGAATTGATCGATTTCTCTTTTTTTTTCTCTTTTTTTGTAATTGAAAACGTGTCCGTTCGCTATAAATATGTATATAAATTAATGATTTCGATGCTCATTTATTGTTAATGATTATGATCATAATCATCACTTTTTTTCTCTTGTCGTTCAAGTCTATAGCTACTTTAGTTCAATACTCTTTTATTCGCCTTCATTGTGGTCAGTTTATTTTTTCGCCAAAATCAAAAAATAAAATTTTTTACTCATTTGGCTAGCTAGTTTTTGGTTGTCAATCTTCCACCTTGGTAAATGAGCCATAACTAAATTGTTGAATTACTGGTCATCATCATCATCATAATCATCATTATTTGCAGTTGGAGTTTTGGTTAAATTTTGTATATATTGTCACCCGAAATAAAACAGCAAGACACATTTCATTCAGATTGTGTCATCGAATAAGAAACAACAAAAAAAAGTTGGAAAATAAAATTCTTTATGAATGAATGAAATAATAATAATAATGATGATGATGAGGATCACACATAATACACCAAAATGGACAAAAGTCAAAAAATGAATGATCGATCATTTTATGGAAACGCACACATCAATAATCAAAAAACTAATTTATCATTTTTCATTAATCATTATCAAGTTTTTCATTTTACATTCTATTAATTTTTTGTTTCGATCATCATTGAAAATAATAATATTATAATACAAATTTAACATCACTAGTTTTTATTTCAAAAAAAAAACATGATTTGATCAATAAAAGTTGACGAAATTTTGTTATTTTTTCTCATACTATTAATAACAAATCAAACTTTACCTAAATATGTGTAGGTAGCTAAATTAAATTCATCAAAATATATTCGGTGTGGACACACACACACACACTTTAGGTGACAAGTAGTTAGCCATTAAATATATCAAGGGGAAGAGAAAATGATTCAAAATTTCCCCCATCACATACCAATTGCCCACACACATACAGTGATTATTATTTTTTTCATT